GCTGTAGTCGTAGGCCGGCACCAGCTGCTTGGGCTCGTCCTTCAGGAGCACGTGGTTGGGGTCGCTGTGCCGCAGATCCATGGCTCTCTTCCAGTACTTCAGCGCTCCCAGCAGGTCTCTCTTTTTATCCACAAACGTGGCCCCCAGCAGCTCCAGAGCATTGATGCGCTCCGTTCTGCCCGTCTGAGGGTGCTGCGTGAGGAAATCCACGATGTTGGTGTGGCCCGTCACGCTGGCGGAGAGCAGCGGCGTCATCCCGTAGCCGTCCTTCTCCATGGTGGAGCCGTACTTCAGGAGCATCTTCATGATCTCCAAGCTCCCGGACTCAGCGCAGTCGTGTAAAGCCGTGTTACCTTCAAGACAAAGATCACACAGAACGCAAGTCATCAGAGACGCATCGATGAATGACAGAAATACTACAGTCACTGAAGATAAACAGAAGCTGCGCTAAGTTATGTATATTTAAATGTGCAGCACTAGCAGAACCGAACGGAGGCGCTCAATATTTTCACAGTTCTGTTTGCTGATGCAAGAAATGACACGCTTCACGTGAGCTATTGTCTTCTGTGCAACATCGACTTATCAAACTGAATTAACATTGAACTGAACTGGAGCTGAATAACAACATTGGTGCCTTCTGTAGAACTGCTATAGATGAACTGAACTTGCTTCAAAAATCTATGAAATTCAAACTATTCATCTGAACTGAATCAACACTGAACTAACCTGATCTGAATAATGAATCTATTGTCTTACAGCAGAATCTGAAGTGAAACACAACTGAGATTCCATCATTGATTCTGTTATTGCTTAAGATGTGTTTTTTTCTTTCTACAGCTTATCTTAAGGTTTTTTCCATTGTTTTCATTTTAACTTTACTATAACATTATAATACCATGCATATTTTTTTTTATTTAAAGAAGAAACCAATCCAATGTATAGTTGACATTTGAGGCTTAATGCTAAAGAAAATAAGTCGTAAAAGTTTTTCAGTTAGAGTGATTTCAGCTTGTTCATATTCATATAAAAATATGGCATGCAAACAATGGTATAAACATCATTCAATGTAAATAATCATAATTAATAATCACAATTACAGTTTCAAGGGAATAATCGACAATTATGATTTTTGTCATAATCGTGCAGCCTAGTGACAGCCTTGTTTTATGAAGTCTAAAACACAAACAACGCTGAGAATCAATCAGTTTCCATGAGATCCACACGGTCTGTCGGAGAAGCGGTGGAAAGTGATGCTGCGGTCATTCACTGTGTTCAAAGAGAACCGACATTTTTGTGAATGACACGACGACAACACATCCCTAATTTGGACAATTCAATACAGAACTGTCAACATTCACGAATTGATTGTGATGGATTACACTAGCTATGTTTCCATCCAAAGTTGCGAATTTGGAATATCGCATAAAATATTTGCGAATATTGAGCTTTTTATGCGCCTTTTTAGAATTGATCCACATCTTGGTGTTTCCATCCAACATTTTATTATGTGATATCCCAAAATCTGCATAAAAATAGGTGGATGGAAACATAGCTAATGAAGTTTAAAGGTAGGGCTGGCGATTTCGGAGAGGCTAGTAATAGCAAGCTTGGCTTTGACAGCATAAGATCCCACCCTCCCTGCAAATCACTCTCCAAAAACACATGACCGCACAGAGGCTAACCAGCGCCACGATGAGAGACGAATCCAGCGCAGTCAGATCACCTCATGTCTCATTCACCGGTGAGAAAACATTACAGTACTAAGCGCAGAATATTACATAATAGCACCTTCCATTCTCGCTCAGTCTGCAGTAGCGTAACGGAACGCGCTGATGTCTGCGCGGAGGGATGCAAATACATTCATCGAACTAATCCTCAGGCCAAGGAATCTGATTGGACAAACATTTGATGGTCTTACTCCTTCCACAGACGATATAAATACATTTGGACCACTTAACTCAGTGATTACTATCGGGATGTGAAGAGACCAAAAAAATGTTTTTGAACCAAATCACCTACTCTGCCTTTCACAAAAAAGATTGACAGCATGAGAGCCTCTAGTCCGAATGCTGAACCCCGCAGGTCTCACCTTTCACACTTTTCCGGTTGACATCGGCTCCTTTCTCCAGCAGGTACTGCGCGATCTCCTTGTGGCCTTTATAACATGATATCATGAGGCAGGTGTGTCCGTGCCTGTTGGCCACTTCCAGATCCGCTTTGTGCTCCACCAGGTATCTGACAATATCCAAGTGTCCGTCGAAGCACGCGGCTCTCAGCGGGGTGGAGTTCGTAAGAGTCGTATTGTTCACAGACGCACCGTGACCCAGCAGAGACTGCACGACTTTCAGATGTCCGGCGGCCGAGGCGGCCCACAGCGGCGGCGCTCCCTCGATGATCTCCCCGTCGAAGTTCACCGAGCCTCCGACCTCCACAGATGCGCAGCAGCACTCGATCAGGTACTCCACCAGCTCCAGGTGCCCGTACCGCGCGGCCATGAGCAGCGGCGTCGCTCCGTTGGTCTTCTCCGCCATCAGTTTCATCACGTCGTGATCGCTCTTGTTCTCTAAGAGTTTCTGGAGGAGCCTCAGTTTGCCGTCTCGGGCGGCGTTGAAAACAGCACTTTTTAAATCCATGGCATAGGGTTACCCTGCGGCAAAAACAACAAAATCAAGACACATACAGCATTGCTCATGCTTTCAATACAAGTTTAATTTGAAGGGACGTAATGATGCACCCCGAGCCAGTTGAAAATCGATAATAATAAGTGAGGATTGACGTGTGTTGAGATGTTAAAGGAAAGGCGATACATTCGGGGTTTATATGAATGTGTCTCTGAGGAGAACTGACTGTCTGCAGGAAAGGTTAGATGGTGATTTCGTCTCATCTGGTCTCTGTAATGCATATTAATGCAGTGTTTATAAGCGCAGCTGCTGTGTTTACAGCGGTAACCAAGGAAACGCTGTATCTGCTGCTGCATGAGCGCCTCCTGCTGTCAGAGAGTGAAACTGCGTCTCATTCAGAGCTTCTGCTGTTTCGGTCTCGCTCAGATATGATTTATGTAGAATAGTTTCATAAAGCTAAAGTTTAATCATTCTGTTTTGCTTCAAATTTCTAAATTATTCAATCTAATTTAAATCAGAATCTGCTCACGTATGCAGCATCTTTGCTTGGATCATGATTAAAATGCAGTGGTTTCCTCCACAGGCAAGCGATTTATTTTATTTAATTTTATTTCACAAAGAAATGTGTAGCATTTTGTCAGAGAAGTAATAAACAGACACCTTTTCATTTATAATTTGTCTTAAACCTCATTTTGTTCAAAAAAATCGTGAGAAACACATATTGTGAAATCAGTTTTGTGAATCCTATTACATCACGAGTTGTGTGAATCGTTACGTCCCTATTAAATTGTTTTTGTGAATGGTTCCCTCGACAGACACGACAGTCTTCACAAGAGCTTCAATTCTGAGGAATATCCTGACATTCACAAATCAGACAACAAACTACGAAGAGCTCAGCTTGCATTTGGAGCCGTTCCTCACTAGGTGCGTGCACAAATAGTCGAATATTCGATCTCCAATTATTATTCGAAAAATAAAAACACTATTTGACTATGTATTTTACTACGTGTTGCTTTGCTGGCCGTAAATGCAGGGAATCCATGATAAATCCCAAGCACGCAAACTAAAAGTCAGTTCTAAGTAAATGCACTGGGTGGCGCTGTGGAGCGTGTTAACAAGTTGTTGTATTTGATCACAGAATGTCGTCGTCTGCGAAGTCTGGTCATCAAAATGATCTTGCAAAATAGAATTACTCTTGATCAAACGAATCAGTGAAACTGAGTTATAATGTCACCACCACAAAGAGAACCCCATGAAATCCAGCTCTCAAGTCACTCGATAAATCGATTCTGTGATCTTCCAAATGCATCGCGAGTCTCTCTGGAATCGATTCTGAGCTTAGTTTTTACCAGCAGATGTCGCTCTAAGCTAGTTTTTAACCACACTTGTGCATTCGGCTGAGTAATGTAAGAAATTAAATGAACTTGCACCTCAGCTTTTATACTTTTATAACACGAGATTAATGTAAACACAGCCCATTGTGAACACTCTTGTAATACGCTTCAACCTTTTCGAACTTTATGAACGACTATTTTAGATAACACAGCACACCGTCATCTTTGTGTCGCAGGAACGTCTTACTGTAATCAGACTGAGGAGCCAACTTTCATGTGGATTAGGGCTGCACGATAAATCGAAATGGAATCGAGATCGCGATTCGACAGAAGCTGCGATTGTTATGCGTATCTTTCAGTGAAGCACGGTTCTGTGATCAGCAGTAAATAAGCTTGTTCAGAAACTGAAGCTCGTTAAACGACATTTAAATAAACGAATATTTGGTTTTTATGAGTCCAAATATTCGAATGCAATATTTTAGAAACACGCATCGCTATTCCTGAAGACTGTATAGTGAAGAACTACTGCGGTGACAGATTCTTCACTTTACACCTTTTGTGTTGTTCACTGAAGAAAGAAAGTCGAGTAAATGATGAGTTCATCTTCAACTGTTCCTCGAAGGTGTTTGTGTGTCAGGTAAGGTACTTAGTCTTAAAAGCTAGTCATCTACTCATAAAAAATAATTGAACCCTAAAAGTAAGATTGATTATGACTGGGTTAGCTGCTAGTTAGTCAAACTAGTTCTTCTGACTGTGTTTATGAACTGGCAGCAATATGAGTGAGGGGTTTCTGTCATATTTAGCCAGTTTCGTGAGAATCTGAAGTTACACTGCTCCGCATATAAATCATGAACGGATGTGAAATATTGGCAGGAGTGAGGATTGATTTCATCACGTGATGAGAGACGAAACTAGCACTAGCACAGATTATATGTGTATATATATATATATATATATATATAGCTTCTACAGTTTAGGCGTCATCGAGTGCTCCAGAGGCTCGTTATTATCTCTGTTGACATCCTCATTCACACAGATTTCCAGCTCAAACAGCACCGTTTACCGGACTCTCTCGTGTCACACACGGCGTCGTTTTCTGTCGGTTAATCAGCGCGTCAGCACTCACCGGATCCTTCGCGGCCTCGACTGTCTCCGGTAACGGCCGTTTATTCGTGTCGGTGTTGTCAGGCACACGGTCTGTGAAGGTCCTTTAGCTCATGTCGAGTCCAAATAATACAAAGCGATAAAAATAGCGCGTCGCTGCGGCTCTTCCCTCCCCCGCTTCCTGTAGCATCGGCCGCGATGCTCCTCATCAAACACACACGATCAGCGCGGCGCGAACTCCTGCCAGAGGCTCACCAGATCAACATTATTCTGCCCTAAAGTCCATTTCTGCTCCACGTCTCGGTTCCGTCTTTCCCCTCGACGAGTGTCGCTCTACGGCTGATGTCCCCGTCTGTAACAGCGGCCCGAAGGTTCCGCCCCATCGTGCGTGATTGACAGCCGAACGGTCCAATCACCGTCTCGCCCAAACGTTCTCCATTTAAAGGTAAACGAAAACAGTCACGACGCGAGACTGAGCGCGAGCGCTCTAATAACGCGACGATTCTGAGGTGTTTTCTCCTCAGTGAGCCTTCAAAGACGGATTCAGAGATGAGCGAGGCGTTAAACGCTCTTCCCGCAGATCTGCCTGTTCACTGCGCTATGCGTGTCAGCAAACAGCGCCCGCTAGAGGCCAGATTTATGTGTATAACGCTTTTACAACGTTATATGTTATGCATCGTTGATTCCATGTTTCTGCTTTATTTTGGGGAACCGTACAGAAAGCATTTGCTTTCATGCTAAATGCAAACGAATGTGATGTTCAGAGCACAAGCAGTGACTCGATACTGAACCTGTGCAGACTCACAATGCACTTCAGAAGGCGTCTTTGCACGGCAAAAGTGGTTCAGAGGCGCTTCTGAAGTGGCATTTAGGTGTCTTTACACAGGCGTTTTGAGTTAATGCTGCTCAGAATTCAATATAAAGAAGCAATTCCGCATAAAAGCCAGACTAAATCATGCCTGCTCAGGTCCTAGCTTCAAAGTATACAGTGATAATTGCTGTGTAAATGCATTAAACAGTCTGTGTAAAGACACCTAAATGCCACTTCAGAAGTGCTTCTGTGCCACCTTTGCCGTATAAATTTGCCATTTGATAATAGGGGCTAAAGTGGATCAGAGCAGGCATAATTTTATCTGGCTTTTATGCAGCATTGCATCTTTAAACAGATTTTTGAGCAGCCTTAATTCATCTGTGTTAAGACGCCTCAAGTTAAGGCTGCTCTGTGCCTGCTCAAAATTCTGTGTAAAGATGCAATGCCGCCAGACTAAATCATGCCTGCTCAGGTCCTAGTGTCCAAGTATACAGTGATAATTGCTGTGTAAATGCATTTAAGCCACCACTGATCAGCATTAAACAGTGTGTAAATGCCACTTCAGAAGCGCTTCTGTGCCACCTCTGCAGTGCAAATTTGGTGTATGACTGAGCATTACAGAGCACAGATATCTGCTGTAGAGGCATGCTTTATGAGCCAATACAAACTAGCTAGTGTAATGCATAGAGCAATCCTTTAAACCGGTGAGTTTTGCTGTAGTTTATGCACAGGTGACATCCACGCTTCAGTGAACGGAAGCAGTCGGTACACATCCAGAGATACAAAAACAAGCCAGTCATGCTCTTCTTGCATCTGATCATGTAAAACGATACTTGATCAAATATACACTTGAAAATAATTGAAAAAGAGTCTTTGAGACGTTCCTCCGGACATTTATTAACCCATTCAAACAAAGTAAAGAAATCAATGCACCGCTACTAAAAAGAAACATCTAATAAAAATGTCATGAAACGAAAACGACGACTAGGAAACATTAGCAAGGATGCCTAATACAGCAAATACAGCTCTCTCGCATTCATAACACATAGCGGTTCTATGAAGACTGAACGGATGAACTAATGATACAATCAGACGTATATAAACTGCACTGGTGTGTCAAGCAGGTCTACAGTGTCTGTACATGCTTTAATGTTCACATTCACGTCATGTAAAGAGTCAACACACAGCCACAAAATAAATAAACCAGTTTAAATTTCAGCACTGAAATGAGCTGAGGATCACACACAGGACTAGAGAAAACAAGCTCAAAGTGTTTAAGCTTAAATAACTCATTCTTTGTATAAAAACCCTTCGATGCGACCCGGTTATGACCCCACGCGGGTTGTAGTGGTTTTCTTGTCTGAGAAGAAGCTCCTGAGAAGCAGCACCTGACTGATGCTGACCACCAGCAGGATGAAGGCCTCTCCGATGGACCAGAAGGCCACTCTGGTGTTCAGATCCTCCGCTCGACTGCGGCCCTGAGCCTCTCGCAGACGGAAGTGCGTCTGATAGTCGATCACAGACTTCAGAGCCTCATGAATCGAGACGCAGGCGGATTCCATCTGAAACAAAGCAGCAGCATTAGACGCGGTCTCAGCAGCTGCTGGTTGCCCTTTACTTATAGCTGACATAGCGTTAATTTCGTTAACTAAATCTATTACGAAAAATGTTCTCCCCTGACTAAAACGAGATGATAATAAGGTCACTAAACGATAACAGACTATATCAACATGCAATAGTGTTGACGAAAAAAGACGAGACTAAAATGTAGTTAAAAGCGCGAAAACTTTACCAAAACCTTTTTATTTTTGTTTAAAAAAAGTGGAGCTGAGACATTTCAGACTGCTGTGCAAGACTCTATTACGCGAGCGTTCATGTTTGCGGTTGCCAGATATCAAGAGCTCAAATCCCCCAAACAGAGCTTTTCTGTTAAACGGATACGTACGGCAGATAATAATAATATTTATCATTGTAACCATTATACAGTAAGACGAAAATATGAAGTTTTCACTGACTAAAACTAAAACAGGACAAGCTTGCGAAATATGACAAAAACTAAAAGTTACATTTGACACCAGACTTAGACTAAATTTAAAAATAGCTGACAAAATTAACACTAAGCTGGCATATAAACCTCAACACATGCTAAATAAACCCATTGTGGGAGCATGTGTCAGATTTCTGCTGGTTTATGATGTCAGACTCACTAACTCCGTGCAGTCCAGTGAATGTAACTCATCACCTGCGTTAAAGCCGTCACTCGGTTCTCGTTGGGGAAAAGCGGAGGGTCGTCGCCGACTTGGAAGTCGAAGTACACGGTCTTGTGCGTGAAGGTGGAGAACTCGTTGCTGAAGCAGAACTTGAACGTGCCGTTTCTGGAGGCGGTGAAGGTGAAGCTGTCGTACTGCTTCTTCATCTCTTTATAGAGGACCGTCCCATCCGGATCCTCCAGACGACAGTCCACGTCATAGTGACCGCCGGTGACCACCTGAGGAAAGAGACGCAGCCGACTCAATGCTCACATCTCCTGCCCGAGAGACTACAGACCTGCCAGACCTGCTCTTTTCTGGGAAACTACAAATGTAAATCCTGCAAATGTGGGACTCCACTGGAGGAAACAGCTACTGACACAGACACACACACACACACACACACACTCTCACACAAACGCACTCACTCTCACACACACGCACACACTCACTCACACACTCACACTAAAACACATTCACTCTCTCACACACACACACAAAAACAAACACATTCACTCTCTCTCACACACACACACTTACACACTGTATAAGCACAAACTTTCTGCAGGTTTGATGTAGGTCAATTGAAGACTTTTTAAAGACAATTTAGGGAACACTATACATCAATATGATCTCTAAATATAAATGAAGACTCTTATTCCAGAGCAGGTGCATCGCTCATCTGAACATGACGTGTTTAGTTAGTATCTCTGAGAACGTGTCCTGCACTGTCCTCTGCGCTGCTGTGACTGAACTCTACCTGGAACTCCAGCGTGCACTTGGTGCCGATGGTGATGTCCTCATAGAAGCACTGCTTGGCGTTGTCTGGCAGCTCGAAGGTGAGTTCAGACGCGCAGATCCAGCTGAACATCAGTTGCACACACAGCAGCAGAAACCAGGCCAACATGTTCTCCCTCAGGTCCTCTGAACCACCACTGCACAGAGCTGCGGCGAGAAAGAGACGCTTAAACACTGACAGAGAGAGAGTGTGTGTGTGTGCGTGAGAGAGAGAGAGAGAGTGTGTGTGTGTGTGAGAGAGAGTGACTGCGTGTGAGTGTGTGTGAGAGAGTGTCTCTGAGAGAGTGAGTGTGTGAGAGAGTGTGTCTCTGAGAGAGTGAGTGTGTGTGTGTTTGTGTGAGAGAGTGTCTCTGAGTGAGTGAGTGTGTGTGTGTTTGTGTGAGAGAGTGTGTCTCTGAGTGAGTGAGTGAGTGAGTGTGTGTGTGTGTGTGTGTGTGTTTGTGTG